CCGGCTCACCGTGCGCGCCGCGGCCCCGCGCCGCCAGAGCCTCTACGTCCTGCTCATAGCCGTGTCCCCCTACCCCTACTGAGGGGGGGCTCGTGGCCGTGGCTGTTGCGCCAGCCGGAACCTCCGGAGAGAGGGGTGGGAAGGAGCTAGAATAACCCCCCTCGCCCAGGCCCTTGCGTAAGAGGTGTCATCTTCTCCCGCCTCCATGCGTCATCGGGACTTTCAGTCAACACGACCCTGCGGGCAGCCTTGACCCAGGACAGCAGGACCCGAGCTGCCCCTCCTCTCCTTACTCCCCGTGGGGGCGGAGGCCCGAAGGCGGGTGACAGAGGCTGCCCATAGGCGGCAAAGCCACAGGCAGAAATGGGGTGAAGCCTGCAGGTCTGACGCCCCCAGGCTTGCCCCAAGCCCCAGGGGCCTGGGCTGGGTAGGACACAGCGTCCAGGCCAGCCCGGGGCAGGGGCAGGGGCAGACCCTGGGGATGGCAGCGGCTGCCATTTGCCCACACCTGCACTGTCGCCCGGCCCCGGGGTGTGTATGTGTACATCATAAAAACGCTTGTTTTTAACCAGCTCGATTTCTTCATCCAGTTCTTTGCTTGATAAGGAGGGGCTGTAGAACTCCACCCTCTGTCCAGGGGCACTGGACTAGGAGCCCAGCAGCCTGGCTCCCTCTGGGTAGGGCGGCCCTTGTCCAAAAACATGAATATGACAGGAGCCACCCAACCCCCCATAGGGCCGGGGGGAGAATTACATGAGAAGGAAAGGCATTGCACCGATAGCAATAGGGGCTTTGTTTTGTTTTGTCTTTCTGTTCATCTTTACCCGAGGATATTTTTCCTTTGATTTTTAGAGAAAGTGGGAGAGAGAGGTAAAAACAGAGAGGCACATCGATGTGAGAGAAACACACCAAATGGTTGCCTCCTGCAAGCCCCCAACCAGGGCCCTGGCCTGGGAGGAGCCTGCAACCGAGGTATGTGCCCTTGATCACGCTCGAACCCGGGACCCTTCAGTCGCAGGCCAGTGTTTTATCTGCTGAGCCAAACCGGCCAGGACCAGGGGGCAGTTTTTAACAGACCAGTCAGGGTGGGCCTCGTGAGAAGGCAGTGTTTCAGCTGAGGCCTGGAGAAAGTGAGGCAGGAAGCCGGCGGACATCTGGGAAGAGTGTTCCTGAGTGTTCCTGGCAGAGGGACCTGCACACAGCAGGCTCTGGCGGGCGGGTGCTTGGTGGGGGAGGTCTGACCGGGAGGTGGGAGGCTGCAGGTAGGGAGGCTGGATAGGAGGTGAGGGGGTGGGGAAGAGGGAGGTGCCATCTGAAAGGCCAGGGGTTGGGGCAGATCCTGTGGCCTTCGGGCCGCTGTAGGGACTTTGGCTTTGCGGAGTGAGTTGGGGAGGGACAGGATTAGAACACCTAGTGTGTACTGGCATGTCCCCAGTGCGCGGGGACAGGGTCTGAGTCCCACTCCCCGTCCCCGCCCTCCTTCCTGACCTGGCGGCACCCCTGTGTCGGCGACCAACCACCCTGTGCCAGCTGCCCCTGATAGAGGCTGTCTTTTCTGCACGTGGTTTGGAGAGGAGGGATCCTTTCTCCCTGCCCCACCAGCTCCGTGTGGCACTGTCACCTCCCCTGGCACCCCCAGGCTCTCATCGGGTCGATGACAAGGGCAGCCGTCTGTCATTTCTTAAGGGGTCCATGGCGATCAGGCTGTCCCGGCAATCTGGGGTAAAAGAGAGGAAATCGCTGTGCCCATTTTCCAGATGGGGAAAAGGAGGCTCAGCGAGGAGACGGGCCCTGGGGCTCTCATCGGGTCGATGACAAGGGCAGCCGTCTGTCGTTTCTTCTTAAGGGGTCCATGGCAATCAGGCTGTCCCGGCAATATGGGGTAAACAGAGAGGAAATCGCTGTGCCCATTTTCCAGATGGGGTAAAGGAGGCTCAGCGAGGAGACGGGCCCCGCTGCCTTGCCTGATAGGTGACTGGTTAAAGGTTAGGCCAGTCTAACTCCTGACTCCAGCCCAGCAGCCCGATGGAATCTTCCCCAGAGCACGTGCACCTTCAAAGCTGGTTTCTTTTCAACCGGGAGTCTGCAAGCATTTTCTGTCAAGGGCCAGATAGTGAATAGTTTGGGCTTCGCAGAACATAGAGTCTCTGTCGAAACGACCCCCCTCACCATTGCGTCACCAGAGCAGCCGCAGTCAGCACGCGGACCAATGGAGTCACTTGATGGACACTTACATTTGAAGTTCACATAATTTTCACAGGTGGCGGAATCATCTTCTTTTGACTTCCCAACCATTTACAAATGCAAAAGCCTTCCTTAGCGTGCAGGCTTTACAAAAGCAGGTGGCTTACACCACAGAAGTCTCTGCTGGTGGAATTCAGGCTGGGCGGAGGGGAGACTGGGGCAGTTGGAGATAAGTGGGGGAAGGGCTCCCAGGCCCTCCACACCCATCTGTCCGGGGGCCCCACTGGGAGGCCCTGCCGTGGGCGGAACAGGCCCCCTTGTGCAACCCTAGGGGCTCAAGGGTTCATATTGTGACCTATGAACCCTGCCCTCTGCTGGGCTGTTAATTTTTTATGGAGCCTGGGACTTGCAGCCCAGGAGACCTGCAGAGCAGAGGGACCGACTCCTCTTTCGCCCCTGCCCTCTCTGCCTTCCTCTCCCCAGTCTCACCCTGGCCCTTCGTGATGGCAACACCACCATTTGTTAAATGCCCAGGGCTCATGGATCTGAGTTTAGTTTATTTAATACAGGAGCCCCCGTAGTTCCAGAGACAAAAAATAGGATGCCCATTTCACAGATGAGAGAGTGGGGCTCAGAGAAGGTGAGCCACTTGTCCCAGCTCCCACAGCCTGGAGGAGAACAGGAGGACGCAACCCAGACCCACCTGCCTCCACAGCTCAGGGCTCCAGCCTCCAGGCTGCCCTGCCTCCACTCTCTGAGGACAGAGGCGAGGGAGGGCCAGGGCAGGATGAAGAGGAGGGACCGCAGCAATTCAAGACTCCCAGGGGAGTGAGTGCTGGCCAGTCTGACTTCCCTCCTCCACACCTTCTCCTAAATCTCCCACCTGCGGCTCTTACACGGGGGCCGGTGAAAGAAGTGATTGCTCAAAGTCACGCAGGAAGCCAGGGGCAGCCTTGGCCTTGAATCCAGGCTGTGATACCCAGTCTGAGGCTCCCCCTCCCCGTGTGCCCCACCCACTTGCACAGGGATCGTCAGCCAGTACAGGAGCCAGCTCCGAGGGGTGTCTCCACTTCTACTCCGCCAGGGGCTGGTGGTCATGGGCCAGGGCCCCAGCCAGCGGCCCAGCCCCCGGGGCCACCTGACCTCCGAGGCTGTTCTGAACCATCAGGGCTGGAAAACAACCCTGCAGGTCACTTATTAAACTCCATGATGCAGCTTTTCCAAGAACCCAATGACTGGACTCCGTGTTCCTTCTGGGTGGGGTCTCGCCTAGAGGACACGCTCTGCTCCTCGGGCCAGTTCAGCCGGGGCAGTGCAACACGGCTTCTGGTGCCAACCGTGAGGTGGCTGCAGGACATGACCTGCAGTGGCCGCGGAGAGACAGGGCCGGAGGGGCCTGCTCCGTGGGCTGCTGCCCAGGCAGCATCTGTGTCTGTTGGCGGCTGGGGGATTCGGTGAGGTCACGTCCACCGTGTGCCCTTCAGCAGGTGGACAAGTAGCCACACACGTCAGCGCCAACCCTTAGATAGGCCACTGCTGCCGTGTGCAGGGGGGACTGGAAGAGGCGGCGAGCCCAGGTAGGAAGACAGGTGAGGTGTCCCCTGCAGGGGTACAGGCGAGAGGAGACGGCGGCCTAAGTGAAGACCACAACAGTGTCAGAGAGAGAAGGAAGGCGAGCCGGCATGTTCCTCCATGTTACTGATGGAAACTACAGGCATCCGGATGCCGCACACCCCCCCCCCCCTCCAGCATAGGAGAGAAGCGATGACAAGGGACCAATCTGGTGGAGGAGGGGACAGGGTCAGAGGGCATCCGCAAGGAACAGTATGTGCAAGGACATAAGACAAGAAAGCGCTCAACACGTGGAAGAAACCAGGCAGGCAGCGCAGCTGGGCCATGGTGGGCAAGGGCAGTGGTCGGCAAACCGCGGCTCGGCAAACCGCGGCTCGCGAACCACATGCTTTGGCCCCTTGAATGTGGCTCTTCCACAAAATACCGACTTCTGCACATGAGCCACGAAGTTTCAATCGCACTGTACGTGCGCGCCTGCACGTGGTATGTTGTGGAAGAGCCACACTCAAGGGGCCAAAGAGCCACATGTGGCTTGCGAGCCGCAGTTTGCCGACCACGGGACAAGGGCACTAGGTTTGACCCTAAGGGTGACAGGGGACCAACCAAGTCTTTCTAAAGATCCTTTAAATCATTGATATTTGAGAATACATCTCTGAACCTAAAAAACCTTTTACAACACATATTGGCAATACCATGCTCACGCCTTAGGAAATGAACAGTGAGTCCCGGCCACCATCAGACACCCCGACAATCCTCCTTTGATTCTAACGTGTAAAACAGGTGCAAGCTGCCGCTCTCCGGGGCTTTTTCTCAACCCATCGGGAGTTTGCTGCCAGGTCACTGTCGTCGGTTTGGCTCAAGTAAACTCATAAAAATTCTCTACAGGTTTGAACATTTCTGACATGGACACCTGCGGGGACCTAATGAAACTCCAGCTCTTCTGGCTCTGAAGCCTTAAACCAGTGGTTCTCAACCTTCTGGCCCTTTAAATACAGTTCCTCATGTTGGGACCCAACCATAAAATTATTTTCGTTGCTACTTCATAACTGTCATGTTGCTACTGTTATGAATCGTCATGTAAATATCTGATATGCAGGATGGTCTTAGGCGGCCCCTGTGAAAGGGTCGTTTGACCGCCAAAGGGGTCGCGACCCACAGGTTGAGAACCGCTGCAAACGATTCTACCTGGGATGTCACTTCAAATAAAGGAGCCGTTGTATGGCACTCGGGGAATATATGTCAGCGCCATCTGAGAGCTACACCTCTGATTTACAACGAAAAGGAAATTCACCTCAACCGAAGATCATTCACGATGGAGCGTCCGAAAGACGGGCCCAACGGTTTGCGTTTCTTTTCCGTTGCTTGTGTCAATAGCAATTAATACTTTTGAATAAACAGTTTTAAGGTGTGTGTTTTTTTAGTTCCGGAACAATTTTAGAGATACACAAGAATGGAGATATGCCGTGATCACAGATCGAAAGACTCATTATTGTTAAGATGCCCAGTAGGTTGACTGACATCCCCAATGAAAACCCCAGCAGGCTTTTTATATAAACCCACAAGCTGTTTCTACTATTTAATGCAAAGGACCTAGAAGAGCCAGAACAGTTTGAAGCAAGACGGAGTTGGAAGATATACACTGATGTCAAGACTTAGTGCAGCCCTGGCCAGTTTGGCGTAGTGGATAGCGCTTCAGCCTGTGGCCCAAAGGGTCCCAGGTTCAATTCTGGTCAAGGACATGTACCTTGGTTGCAGGCTCCTCCCCGGCCCAG